GTGTCCCGCAGCAGAGGTCAAACTGCTAAAAGCCTCATGTTTTCGCTTTCTGGCCTAAGAGCTGCCACCGTAATTGCACGCTCTGTGGCCTTGCCGATGAGCTCCGCCGGCAGCTCCACGACATGGGTGTGCGCCTGCAGGACAAGGAGAAACTCTGGACGTGTCCCAGCAAGAAGTTCGGGCCTCGGATAGAAACCACCAGCGCGCCACCTGGGAGGCTGGAGGGCCAGGTGGATGAAGATCTGACGAGAATGGAGCCGCATCATATCCAAGAGAATCACCCAGATCATCTGTTTACTTCTTCGCAGGGAACTTGTGAGGTGGACACCCAATCTCCCAAATCCGTGCATAGCCGATGATCCACTCAGATGCACACTGCAGGTTACAGGGCATCATCACCGGCTTCCGCGACAATGAGTCCGCCCCTTCAGCGCATAACAGAGACGGGCACATTTGCATGGAAGCAAGCCCCGTCAGGCTCACCGATATGGAGGTGCAGACTTTGCGCACACAGCGCGCGCAGCCAGGGCCGCCGGGCCGCCCAGACACCATTTGCTACCTTGCACCGATCGAAGCCTCTGAACACATGAGCACTTAAGTCAATTCTAGATGCTCACCGCTACGACGCTAGAGCGCCCCCCCTCGCGCCCTGCAGCGTTTCTGAGGGCTCTTCAAGCACAGGACTACGCGCTCTCTGACATGATCCGTGATGCAGGGGGCCCTGACGTTGCCGACACAGACTTACGTTTGTACTTCTTTTTGGGGGGGGAGGGTCGGAGAGGTCGCATGCCCACAGTAGAGTTGCAAGACCTCCTCGCTGGAGCCCCTCCCTTTTCGCTTCACATCCGTCCCGCACCTGACCGTCCCCTCTCCACGCAGGAACTCCGTAGACGACGAACCGCGTGCCACCCGGCCGATCTTGGCGTAACGGATTCCCTCCCAACTGTTCTGACAAACTAATTGGCACCCTACAACAGCTGCCCGCGCAGATCTGTTTTTTCTCGTTTTCTTGACCTGCCCTGTGCACAAACACATTCCTTGACCTAGGCAACCAAGCGATTGCGGACCGAGCGCCCCATCACTGCCTTCGTTTAAACGAACCCGGTGCCGGGCCTCAGAATTGTACTCGAACTTGATATCGGCAGCACATACTACCAGGCACGGTTCTACTGTGATCTTCGTCCTGAGATTGAGACTGACTGTCTTAGACTCATAGACCATCCCTAGACCTACCACTGCAACCGAATCACATCGAGTTGCATTACGCACGGTCATGCTCAAGATCTTTCGGCGGTGGGGGACTTGTCCAGTGAAGCCCCCGGAACCCCTGATAGAATCAATACAAAATGTCCTCCATCCGTTTTGTTCACCATGAGTTCATCAACAGTATCTGATGCTCAATATTCACCAGGGTATGACAGCTAACAACAAAAGGACTGCTTCAAACCATAAAATCTTCCACAAATTCGTGTCAACGCACCCAAACTCGTGTGGGCACTGAGAATTGGTGCCCAGGTCAACCCAGGTCGCCACAGGTCGACGCGCTGTAGAGCTAAGGCACGACGACACGTCGGTCTTCCGCTTCTCCTCGAAGTCTCTCTGGGGCGAGGCAGTCAGCAAGGTCTCACCGGTGACGTGGACCCGCCGCATCTCCCCAGAAATCCCCCCGGTCGACGAGTCGTGAGACAAGGAGACACGCGGTTCTCGCGAAGACGCGGAGTGCGGAGAGATGCGGAGAGCGAGGTGTGTAGCTTCGGTGAAGCCACGTGAAAACACTGAACAGCGGTTCTTACCATTTAGTTCTGGCTATCCATCGCCGGCACGAGCCTTCTGAAAACAAAAACAATGCATCTCAACAAGGAGACACACCCTATCCCAGTCCAGTGACTTCTTTGGGGTCTTTCGAACAAAACGCCAACTAGGCAAGGAGGGAACCCCTGGTAGAGACCGTATCAACCAAATGGCCTTGGGAACCTCGGAGTCCCATTCGGACTTGTATGCTGGCCACTGGCAGGCAATGCTGGCGTGTGTGCTTGACGCGGATTTCTGGATGTCGTGCTGAAGAAATACATGGCCCATGTTGAGAATAAATCCTACTTTATATAGTCATGGATATGTTTGGCCATTCCTTGACGGACTGTACCCGGAGCCAACTTCTGGCACATGCGTAGCGACAGGCGCTTCTTTCTGCATCTCACTCCCATTGTGCATGGAGCAGAAGCAAGCAGCCAGCAGCAGCAGCAAACCAGAAAAGCAGCACAAGCAAAGCAAAAAGGTAGCACCAGCACCAGCACCAGCAGCAGCAAACGAGCAGCAGCAGTGGCGGCGGCAGCAGCAGCAGCAACAGCAAAACAGCAGTTGCAGCACAGCAAAGCAGAAAGCAGCAGCAGTGGCACCAGTGGCAGCAGCAAGGACTGCAACAGCAGCAGCAGCAGCAGCAAAGCACCAAAACTCACACAAGTTTGGCCTCCACAACCCTTGGTTTTCGTTCGCGCAGACGAAATTGGGGGGGACAGCAAAGCAGCAGCAGCCTTCAGGATTCAAGCAACAGCAGCAACCAGCAAGAAGTAGCAGCAGCAACAGCAACAGCCAAACAGCAGCAGCAAGCAGCAGGAGCAGCAACCAGCAGGAGCAGCAACCAGCAGCAGCAGCAGCAACCAGCAGCAACCAGCAGCAGCAGCAGCACCAGCAGCAGCACCAGCAGCAACCAGCAGCAGCGGCGGCGGCGGCAGCGGCAGCGGCAGCAGTGGCGGCGGCAGCAGCAGCAGCAGCAAAAGCAAGCGGTTGCAGCACAGCAAAGCAGAAAGCAGCAGCAGTGGCACCAGTGGCAGCAGCAACGACTAAGCAACCAGCAGCAGCAGCAGCAGCAGCAGCAGCAGCCGCAGACATGCTACCTTTCGTCCACCCCCATCTCCTCAAGTGGATCAGGAAGATTGGAGTGGGCACTAGTGGACCTCAGATCGCAGTGGGCACTACCGGACCTCAGCAGCAAGTGCCAGATCGCAGTGGGCATACCGGACCTCAATCGCAAGTGCCAGATCGCAGTGGGCACTACCGGACCTCAACACACAACGTGCAACCTCACAACATAACCACAAGCACTCAGTACATGACCGCAACCACAAAGCAGACAAACCACAAACACAATCAGAAACGCACGACCAGAAGCACAACCACAAACACAACCGCAAGCACACAACCACAAACACAGCCACAAACACAACCACAAACACACAACCGCAAACACAACCACAAGCACAATCACAAACACACAGCCACAGCAATGTAAGCATTTACCTGTGTGTGTGGCATTTTGCGTGGCAGGTGGTCAGGGTAGCACTTTTGGATGCCAACTGGAGACCTTGGCGACACCCCGACGCGAAACATAAAAATAACAGTCCCAAACCCGAGGACCCACAAACAAAATCGAGAACATTCGAGAACCACAAAGCCACCCATCGTGGCAACATGCTCTTCGATATGGCATGAAGGGATTACTCGACTGAGATGTCATGGTGGTGATTGCTCGACTTAAAGTTGCTATATATGTTCTTGAATGGTTTGAAAGCCGTTATTCTTTTCTTTCGCACTGGCCGCCAGTGGCCCTTCGAGAGTGACTCCTCGGGAAATCTTAGCCGAGAAACTCCAACCTTGCACAGGAAATTCAGGCCAACTCCGATGCCTTACCAAGTAAGGCAAGAAGAGAGAACAGAGCGCGACAGAGTGCTATGCTAGACCGGAAGAAACCACCCATCCCTGTTAGGATTCTGGCGCAAAAATGTGCTGACCGGATTTGAAGAACAATTTTGGGGGATCCATGCGGTTCTGCCATGGGCTAGTTGGGCCATGTAAACATCAATAGTCAACGGGGAAAGGAATGAGCGTCACCACGTGGAGGCGGCTCCGAGTCCACTGCCCTGAAGGTTTTGCACAGCTAGTGATGAATTATTTTGGACCCAGTCGTTTCTGCGAGTTCTAAGTTTTTTTCGATAAGTAAGTGGTTTGCCTGCAATAAGACCTTTTTGGGGGAACGCAGAAGTCGAGTCGGTCAACCTTGATGTTTCCGGGAAACTGAGGTGATCAGAAGGGTTCCTGCTTGTTTCGACCCTCATCCACCGGTCACTTCCCGTGGGAGAACGTCACGTCTAGCACTCCGTGGCCGTCTTCGTCCACGAGGTCCGACTTCGTGAGGTCCTGCGGGTGCCAAAGAAGAGTGATGGATCGTGTTGATTCGCCGCGGGTGGCAAATGGATGCAAATGGCAGATGGTCGCAGGTCAGGAATGATTTTTTGGAAACATCCCGTAGTGTCGCAGGGCTGACGGTGACTTTTGTTGGAGGGTATGGACGAGACGGAATTGGAGATGGTTAGCATATGTTAGCATAATATGAGTGTGTTGAAGGCCATCGCTATTAAACACAAAGAAAAACCATGTCTAATACAGTTTGCTATTAGGTTGGAGGCCATCGCTACTAATATCTACTAATTAGGTTGGAGGCCATTGGAGTTTGACCACACGATGTTTGCTTGGGGATGGGCTTTCGGTCGGCTGAGCTGAGCTGCACATGACGCTCTTAGCGCCGCCACATGTGCTCGGACTCGCGTTCTGCGCCGCAGTTCTTTTCATCCCGGAGCATGCAGGATCCGTCATGAAGATAGCCGCTTTGTAAAGACACACATGGACACGGTCACGGGTTTCCAAGTCTTAAGAGGGACAAGTCAAAATAGTCTGTCCTTGGAAAAAGATGGTTTGCAATAGAGAAGCGATCAGAGAGTGTGCAGAGATAATATAGAGCAATCCGCAAAGCAGTGTCGCCACCGCACAGGGTCAGCAGCGGGGCTCAGGTATTCCGGCACACTACAGTCGACCAACAGCTTAGTATTGCGCGTAACCGAAGCAACCTAATTCGAGTGGATTGGAGGAAGATTCCTTCAATCAGGACCCCTGAAAGTTGACCTGTTCATTGATAGTGAAGGAGAATTAATTCCAGAGGCATGAAACGAAGCCCCACCCGGTCCCAACCTGGGCTTTGCGCTCACTTGTGCCATGGCCGACCGTGGAGAAACCGTCCAGGCACCACGGGTAACAAACCTGGTGTTGTCCCCGTCGAGCTTCCGGCCGACGGACGTCGTTTTGAAAATTGGACCCCGAGGAAACTCCTTACCGGCCACATGCGGGCCTTCCTTTAGTAGGTGATTCAGGCCTCCTTTGTGGCGCTTTGCTCACTTTTGGCGGGCCCTTGAAGCTTGGTTCTCAGGGAAATCAAGAAAAGAGATGGAGAGAATCATTGAGTTGTGCCAGCGAGGGCGTTCTGGTCATGTTTTGGTGAGATCACCTCTCGGAGCGACTGTCACTTTTTGCACAGGCTTGGAAGTGAGACTGGGGGGGAGCGTTAATTATATTATGTTGTGATTTTGTAGATGTGGTTGCACACTTCTTTTTTTCTGTCGTTGATGGCGCAACACTATCAGCACGTATAGATGTGGATCGGGAGGGTGTTAGAATAGCGGCTTGCACATAGAATACTATTCATTATATCTCGGGAACTCAAAGATGTGCATGTTCAAGGGGTGGGTCAGATTTTTTGGAAAATAATGTGCAGATAGAATAGGGAGCAACGAGCGGATGCAGATAGAATATTGATATGCCGCTTAACATTGATGAAGGACCATTGATATCCCGACCCACAACATTTGGCCCTTGAGCACTCTATTTAGATGTCTAGATGGCCATGGATACAAAGGCATCAGGATTGTGAGGGAAAAAGGCTGCTTGTTGATCCACTGCTTTGCCATGCAACATTCTAACTGCAAAACATTCTAACTACAAACTTTTCACACCCACCCTAATGCAGTTCTAAGTAAGTGCATGTATCTAATTTTTGAGTATTCCAACTAGCCCGCTACGATAATGATATTTAATTCCAAGTGCATCTAAGATGAAACAGCTACATGGGGTGGGGGGCTAAGAACGTTTGATTGCAAGTGCATCTAAGATGAAGTTTCTCGCATGCCACGTTCAGAAGACTCACCACAGAGTCCTTTTCAGTGCTATCGGCCACCTGTGTCGCAGACACCGCAAAAGTTGAAAACACGTCAAGAGCCGCTGAAGCGAAACAGCGCTCAAAACAGTGTAAGTTACCACTCAATAGCGTTTGAAACACAGTGAACGCACCGTGCTCCTACAGGCGCTCCTAGCGGGGGCTGAACCGGCCCTATTTTCTATGAATTTATGTACATGTTGCATGCTGTGAGGATGCTGCACGCTGTCAGGTCCGACACTAATGGTGCATGTTGTCAGATCCCACACTAGTGTTGCATGCTGTCAGCTCCCACACTAATAGCTTTACTTGTGAAACACTTATATATCGCTTCAATCCAAGGGCTTCGGTGTTTTGGGGGGTGGGTGGGGGGGGCAGTAGCGTTCGTTGGACTGACGACAGACGTTTCGCAGTTTTGGTTCGCATGTCGGAGGATGACCCCGTGGTTTTGTCTCTTGTGTTGGTTTGGCTCATTCGTTTGTCTGGTCCTGTATTCTCGTTTAAGAACCACCCAGTCTTGGCCCGCTTCTTTCTTGTGGATGCGTTGTATCGAGACTCTTTGATAGACGTGTTGACTTCAAATTGTTTGTTGGATCATGTTGGATTCCATGTGTTCCTTTGTTCGGGAAAGAGTTTTGTTAGAAGACCGTGCGATGAATGCTTTGTCGAAGCTGCAGTCACATGCGGCCGATGGAACACACTCTGACACTTGTATTCAGTTAACTCAGTTACCACGATGGGAAGAAAGGCGAAGAACCGCAAGGTGAAAAAGTCAGCGCAATTGTATTGTTGAACATTGTTCAAAGCGGCTGCAAGATGATCAACCGGTGGCTCAGGCAATGCGGAGGGAAAATGGTTTGTGGGAAGTATCATGAACCACCATGGAAACAAAAAAGGAGATTGGACAGCTTGTGCAAAAGTTGAAGCAGGTACACACTGAGACGTCTCTCAGTGCTTCCCATCTCGCTGCCCAGCTTTGTTAGACCAGGTCAGCAGCGAGATGCCTGGTCCCCCTGCCTGTAGAAAGTGGTGGAAAAAGTGACGGTGGAAAACCCTTTGTCCAGGGGTGGACACACACAGGTCGCCGGCTTCGGCGCTTTTTTCAAAGAACGATGGTACAGACACGCTGCCGCTTGGCGGCGCGCATATGAAAAACCTGAATAGTCACCTAAAAAGCCTTAGAAACAAAAGAAAAGAAAGACAGAAAGAGCAGCGCTAAGAGGGCAAGAAAGAAAGGTAGGTGTAGAAAAAAGGTGAATACTTAGCCCTTGACTGGGGTAGGGAAACGAACCTCAAGAGCAACCTAAAAAGCCTGAGAGAAAGCCCAACAAACGACCGAAAGCGTAAGAAAGAAAAAGGGGGGGGCAGGGAGGGGTGTATGTAGCATGTGTGTGTACATGTGTGTGTCTGAATACTTAGCACTCTAGGATTACTGACTACTTAGCCGAAACTAATTAAATGCAATAGTTAGGGAGCGGGACTTTTGTCTTAGACCGCCCGGGTAGAGTAGACTAGAACAGGAATAACACAGGGAAAGGCACCGACACACAAGTGTGTCGAGTACCATTTCCCTATGTTGCCCAAAATAGGTAGGGAGTAGAACACAGCGGGGGGGGGGGGGTGAAAGAGTGACTAGGGCGTACACGGTAGAGGTGCAGACCGCTAGTGTCTTTTATGCGCAGAGTCTTATCCTCTTGCTCTTTGAGCCTTGAAGCAGTCAAGCATGGACACACTATATCAGCTGTTGGAGTGGAACCCTGTACAGGTAGGCTCTACTTTTCAGCAGGCACAAGATTCATGTCCACTTCTAGCTGATTGCGTATGTCGCATACTCTTTTCTACTGCAAGGCTAAAACAGTCCAGCTAGCTCTGACAACTTAAAAGAAAACTACGGTGCCATGTACTTACCTAATCCAGTGTGTTTCACACTTTAGAGAAGGTAATCTCATAGCTACTAAATACAGTGAGGGAGCAATAGCTGACTCACCTCAAGTACAAAATCAAAACGATAATGTACCTCGGCTGGAGACTGTACTTTTCGCAGGCGGAGATACCATGTACCGGCGCTCACTAGCTCTTTAGGGCCTGAGCTAAATCAAACTAAAAAGGGAAAGCGGCCTTTTCTCTACAGAGACCTATAAAAGAATCAAACGACACTCGCGTAACAAAGAACTAAAAATTCAAGACCGCACAAATTGCAATGAATTAAGATGCCTTGCAAAATGCAAGGAGCGTACGGTCCGAGGAATAATCTTCTCGTGACGTGGTCTCGACCGCTTTCATTCACAGACAAAATAAACTGCATCAAAAGGACTCTCTTTCACATTCACATCAAAAACACAAGAAGGAGATACCGGCAAATGTATGTACAAAAAAATCTTGCACTACAATTGCAAATCATGAAATGACTTAATCATCAACCATGACTGGTTGTCCATTAGAGGTCATCTCAGAAAAAGCGGCTGAGATAGATATCATCAGTTATGCAAAACTGCCCATACCTATCTACATGCTAAAGCGTATAAACCTGGAATGCAGGAGTATCTTCTTTGATAAAAAGTTTCTCCTCATTGCAAACCAGAATTTATTAAAACTTCAGCCTGGCAACTTAAAGTCAAGCCTGGAAGCAAAGTATCAACTGTAACCAGAAGTATCTTCACTTCCTAGCCATCATTTAAATTTCAGCCTTCGCTCAGGAATTATGCCGCTGCAAACGATGAAGTTGCTTGATCAGAAGTTGGCGGCCTTCCTTTCTTTCTATTCTGCTTTTGTCTCTCCGTCCTCCGCAAGTTAGCCTCATGAAGAGTTGGTCCCATGCGATACTGTCTTCTGTCTCCAGATGAGAAGGAAGCTGGTCTGAGTGAAATAAACATTGGACCATGACTGTCCTCGTCAGTGGGCCTTGAGCACATAACCTCCGTGTCAATCATGGCAAAGTTCTCTGAAAAATTACAGATGAACTCCTTCGTGCTCACTGTGGAATTTTCATATTCCTCTTCACTCATTGAATGACCCCATTCAACAATGGTAGACAAACATGTATCGCCAAGCTGTGATCCTTGGTATTCTTCTTTCTCAACCGTAGAGTATTCTTCCCAGAGTTTGTCAAAGTAAACTTCACACTTTTTGAGGACCTGTGAAGTTGAACTGTAAAATGTTCTGGGAATAGGTGCTTTGATACCAGGATCTGCTTTTACACGAGCTTCTGAAAACCTGCGGATCCAATGCTGCATGGTGCTGTAGCAGTAGTTAGCCATTGGCTGTCTTTTGTACCCAGACATTCTGTAGGCCAAACTATTTGCATCACCAGAAATGATGTCCACCTCATAGACAAAACACTCGTAAAGCATCAATGCTGTCTGTTCTCCTGTCAGTAGGTGGGCATCCACAGCACGGTGTGTATCAACATGATAATTACAGACTCTGATGGTATGCATGTTCGCTCGAGTAAGTGGAACACGCTTGTCCTCAGGACCATAGTCATCAAATTCAAAGTCTGCATCCTTGAAATCTTGACGAGGCCTTGTTTCTCCAAAACAAATCTCGTAGATAGCCCAAGTTACATCACGCTGTTCACAGTGACCAAGGTCTTGGTCATGTCCAGCAATGATCTTGACATATCCACCTGGTGCCAATCTGGCCATCACTGCAAGATTCTCCCAATCATTGAAACAAACTGTCCAATTCTTTTGCTCAATAAATTCCTTGGCAGGAACAAGAAGATGAGCTTCCTGGAGAATCACGACATGTGCACGTAAAAAGAAGAGCATGTTGAAGAAAAGGTTGTTCTCAAATTGCTCATTCTGAAGTGACATGGCGCTCTGTTTGCGTGGCCTCATTGCACTATCAAGTCCTTGGAGAAACCTTGGTGTGGTGTACTTCTGACCACGAACCATGTTGCCATAGTTCCAGGATAAAAATGTCAAGGACTCTGAGCTGGCCAATAAATTAGTTCCATATGGTTCTTCTATTCTTCCTTTGAGGAACCTTCTGCACAGCTCTTCATAGAAGGTGACAAAGTCCCAACTGGGTC